AAGAAAGCATTTAACTTTTTAAGTGGATTCTTTGAAATTTGAAGTTTTGATAAAACCTTAATAATACTATGCTCTTGATTTTTGGCAAGAAGAATTGTATTTGCCTCTCCTACAGGTGGATTACAGTAGAAAAAGACTATATATTTTTTTAAATTAATTTTTTTATTTATTTTGATTTATCAATAATTACTTCCATATGCTTTTGAGTTTAAAATTTTTCTCCCCCTTCCTCCCCACCACCCTCCCCAAGATGGCGCATAATCTGATATAGGCTATACATTTACATTCATATTAAACATTTTCACATTAGTGATGTTGTAAGTAGAAATTAAATCAATAGGAGGAACCATCAGAAAGAGGAAACAAAACTCAACCTAAGAGAAAAAAAGTAGCAATTTGGCTTCCATAGTTCTTTCTTTGGGTGTGGATAACATTTTCCATCACAAGGCCTCTGGAGATGTCTTAGATCCTTGTACTGCCAGGAAGGGTTAAGTTTATCAATATTAGTCATCACACAACGTGGCTGTTATTGTGTACAACGTTCTCTTGGTTCTGCTCACTTCACTCAGCATCAGACCATGCAAGTCTTTCCAGGTTTTTGTGAAGTTAGCCTGTTCATCATTTCTTATAGCACAATAGTATTCCATCACATTCACATACCACAACTTGCTCAGCCATTCCCCAATTGGTGGGCATCCTCTCAATTTCCAATTCTTTGCCACCACAAAAAGAGCTGCTATGAATATTTTTGTACATGTAGGTCTTTTTCCCATTTGTGTGATCTCTTTGGGATATAGCCCTAGAAGTGCTATTGCTGGGTCAAAGGGTATGCACATTTTTATAGCCTTTTGGGCATAGTTCCAAATTGCTCTCCACAATGGTTGGATCATTTCACAACTCCACCAACAATGCATTAATGTTCCAGTTTCCCCACATCTTCTCCAACATTTTTCATTTTCCTGTTTTGTCATGTTAGCCATTCTGATAGGTGTGATGTGGTACCTCAGAGTTGTTTTGATTTGCATTTCTCTAATGAAGTGATTTAGGGCATTTTTCCATGTGACTATAGATGGCTTTAATTTCTTCATCTGAGAACTGTCTGTTCATATCCTTTGACCACTTATCAATTGGGGAATGGCTTGTATTCTTATAAATTTGACTTAATTCTCTGTATATTTTAGAAATGAGGCCCTTATCAGAGAGACTGGTTGTAAAAATTCTTTCCCAATTTTCTACCTTCCTTCTAATCTTAGTTGCATTGGCTTTGTTTGTGCAAAAATGAAAAAGACTATCTTGATTAATATCTACTCCACCCTTAAATAAAGGGCAAAGCAGTTTTTAAAATTTTGGTTGCAAAATGGGCATACATAAAAAATAAATGAAATTTATGTAGCCTTCACAAAGAGGCATTAAAGATTTGGGTTTATTGGATATTGGATTTAACAGATTAGGAAGTAGTACACCTGGAATCTGTTCCTCTTGTTGCCACTCAAGTAGCTATGTGACCAGGGGTAAGTTACTTAAGTTTTTTGACACTAATTCCTCATCTCTGAAATGGGAATGCTAGGCTAGATCTCTATGGTCCTTTTCAGAAGTAAAATTCTAATAATGCTGATTGGATTGGATCGAACATTCGGTGCTCACAAGAGCTCGGTGAAGTAGGCACTGCACACTCAGTGCACACTCAGGCCTTCACACTCCAAATCTGCTTTTTTTTCATACCTCATTATCCTTTAAAATCTTGTTTAAAAAAAAGAATCCAAATCCCCAAACCATAATGGTTAAATTTTTTTTTTTCAACTTCTCACCGTAGAACTTCCCCCATTACTTGGGGCCTTTTCACTGTAGGACATCCCTCTGCCATGCCAGCTGCCTTCTCTTATTGACTAGTTCCTTCTGGGGCCTTCATTTTGGGGACGGTTCTCAGACAAATATGTGCTGGTAAATGTTTAATAATTGGCTCTTCAAAAAAAAAAGTATGGGGGCCAGGTAGGTGGCACAGTGGATAAAGCACTGGCCTTGAAGTCAGGAGGACCTGAGCTCAAATCCAGCCTCAGACCAAACACTTGACACTTATTAGCTGTGTGACCCTGGGCAAGTCACTTAACCCCAATGGCCTAAAACAAACAAACAAAAAAGTATACAAGACGTTTTTAGGTTGAATCTTCATTGTTGACATTTTCTACATCACTTTTTCTGAGTCTTGGGAATCAGCAAAAACATTAAATCAAGCCCCAATTTATAGAGTTTGGTGATTCTGAGGTGCAAATGCCCACAGTGAAAATTTAACAGTCAGTTTTTGTGAGCCTACTTGAGCCAGCTCCAGCACACTCCTGGGTGCTGACCAGCTATGCTTCATTCCTCTCTCTGCTGCGCTTCTGACTCTGGATTTTGCCACCATGCCTACTTTTCCTTCTACCCCTGTAGCTTCTTTTTATGTATTTTTTTATCCATGAGAATATAAGCTCCTTAGGGATCAGGGGCTATCTTTCTTTTTCCTTTTATTTGTATCCCTAGCAGTCACTGCAGTGCCTGGCACATAGTAAGAGTTTAATGCTTGTTGCCGACCTGCCCAATTGTAGACTTGTTTGAAGAATTGCCGTTTGGGAAGAGAGAATGTAAGGTGAGTAAGAGGCAGCATGATACAAACTACTTTAGAGTCACGAGGGCCTGGGTTCAAATTCCACCTCCAGTGCTAGCTGAGTGGCAAGTCACTTAATTCTTATCTTGCAGGTGACTCATCTCATTTTAAGATCCCATCCAGCTCTAAATCTCCTTTGAGAGGGGCTCAAAATCAGCATTTGAGAAAAGGTTACAATGTGGTGTTATAAGAACTGTTGGTCATATACTTAAGGTAGATATTTTAGGGGAAATTATTTCATCATTGATGTACAGCTAATTAACATTAGAAATAATTCTTAATATGTTAAGGAGAAAGGGTAGTTTGTGGTTTTGATCTAATTTTCATGTATCTCTTTGTAAAGTTCTTTTGTTTTCTTCAAGAATATTAATGTGTTGAAATGGCCCAGATAATGGAAAATTAATATGAAAGAACTTTTACTTTTTTTTCTGAAAGAGAAATTGACAACTCAAATTGATATGGAAAAAGTTGATGCCTTTTCTTTTGGGACAGAGCACTTGCTGGTGGTGACCAATTTAACCCTGTTCAGTCTTCTATTTTCTTACTTCCGGTCTGCTGTCTTTTGACTGAACTCTGCTTCACACCCCATAGAGCACTCAAAACAATTGTTAGTTTTTGAAAGGACTGTGCTGCCCCTCCCTCCTTCCCCCCCCCACCCCCAGCTCCCCTTAGGTCCATGTTAGGCTATATTCTTAGTATTTTTCAATGGAAAAAATTTAGCTGTATGCAAGTCCTTGGATTCAGTTCTGGGAATACAGTGGTTGTTATAACACAAGTGCTGCTGCTCTGAAGGGGTTGTGTTTTTGAAGTTTTCCTAAAAAGACAGGAATTTTTAAGTAGACCCTTAAGATTGTGTGTGGGGTAGAAGCCACTCTCTTTTTCTAGTTAAGTGGCTCTTATGTCATGTGACAGACATTGCTGCTGTCTGCCTTGAATATTGGAAAGAAAAATAAAAACAAAGGAAGCTAATTTTCCTTGATCTGTTTTGAGAGATTTTAATATACTTTGTAATGAAGATTTTCCAGTCTTGTATAGTTGATAGACAGTTTTTATCTTACCATTGATACTTGGCATATACATCATAATTTTTTGAGGAAAGATTTTTTTTCTCTTGTTAAACAAAGTCTCAGAGTGTTCTGTAGGGGTAGAGAGGTTAAAACACCTGTTTAGAGTCACATAGCAACTATGTGTCAGAAATGGGACTTGAACTCAGGTCTTCCCAAGTCTTAGCTTAGGTCAGTTCTCTATCCACTCTGCTGTCCTGCTTCTTCATGAAGACCTTACCGTGTTTATATTATTTATTATTAGCCTGCATTGTTCAGTTTGCTAAATCTAGCTAGCTATATGTGCAAAACTATTTATAATTTAAAATTATTGGGTTCCTATTCCATTTTGTCAAATGCCCAATTTTAAAAATTTCAGATATTGTTATCTACTCTTAGGCATGCCTTGGCAAGTCTTTTACCTTTCATGTACCTATATAGAGGATCTGCAGGGGCGGAGAACCTGTGCCTTGAGGCCACATGTGGTGATGTAGGTCCTCAAGTGCGGCCCTTGACTGAATCCAAACTTCACAGAACAAATCCCTTTAATAAAAGGATTTGTTCTGTGAAGTTTGGATTTGGTCAAAAGGATTTTGAGGCCACAGGTTCCCCACCCCGATAGATAACCAGGGCTGGAAGTCCCTGCTTCATCTCTTCATTCCTGCTCAGAGTTATTATAACTCCAGAGAAGTTAGTTTGTCACTTTTTATCTTGTTTCAAAAGTGATATTTTTGAGGTTATAATATTGTTTTTCATATCTTAAGTCTAATTGGTTTCTACAACTTCTGGACAAGTCATCTTGATGATTAGAAATGGTTATATCATCATATTTTATGCACATGTAGCATAGAGAGGGTCATAGAATCATGGACTATAGCTGGAAGGAATTTCAGAGGGCATCTGATTCCTGTCCTTCATTTTACAGATAAGGAAACTGAGGCCTGGCAATTTTTAGCATCTTGCCCAAGGTTACTTGCCTTTCTGAAGAGCATTTTAGTTGAGGTGGACTCTCTCTTCCCCTGCTCCCCCAATTGATCTCACTGTGGCAGTTCTCAGGCAGACGGACGGGATGGGGTTTGAATCCAAGTTGTATGAAAACGTCATCAGCCAATTGGCTGACCTTTGATGGGGAGACAGGAAGAACAGCCTACGTTTTTATGCTGAATCTGAGTCATAGAAAACAGGTTTCCTACAGGAACTACTTGGCTTCAGCAAGTGTGGAAATATCATTTCCCTTGAAAATATTTTTATCTTTGACATGCAATTACTTCAAATTGAAATAAACTTTTTTTTTGTCCTCTGCTTTAATTCCATAGATGTATTTCCATTTTTGAACTTCATATAAACGTGAGTCAGGAGTAACCTAATTCTCAAGATGTTTGTAACAGAAGTGTTTTAAAAAGGACTGCACATACAGGTAAAGACCTAATTTTATTTTTGTTTAATAGCATAGAAACACCTTGCCTGGAGTATGGAGTTTGTAGCTTTTTCTTGTATGACTGGAAGGAATAGGTGTTTTTTTTGAAGGTAGCAATCTGAACTCCCTTAGACAGGTTTCTACTTGCTTAGGATTAGCTAAGATATACATGGGAGTGGTTATTTAGAACAAATAACAATGTTACTAAGAGACTTTACTTGAAAAATAAATGAGGGAAATTAAAGTGATATCTGTGGACATATTTAGAAGTCTCTTGTAAAATGTGCATGTGTGTACTAGGGAAAGAAAAGGAGGGAGGAGAGTAGCTGGGGGTAGTGGAGGGGAGGGGCCCATGCTGAGGGAAGAAAGGAGAGAGAGGAGAGGGAGAAAGAGAGAGAGGGAAAGGGAATAGTATTGAACGGTATTTGTCCATAGTAGTTCCAGATGCTATTGAAAGTCTGATTCACACGGTTCAGAGAAATTACACTTTATCTTTTATTTGCCACATGTCTTTTAGATCTCAAGATAGTGCCTGAAATGTAGCTGTGATTCTTAAACTAGTTTTTTTTCCACCCAGTTTTTTTTTTAAATTCTGTCATCAGCTATAGATCCATACTTAAGTTTATTTTGTTTCAAAGTTTAAAATATCTAATGTAACAAATACTCAGTTACCTACTTTAAAGGAAAGGAAACAGTACTGGGTAATGGGGAAAAGAAATTATTTGGGTTTTTGGAATACATTTTGTGAATTTTTTGCACCTGCTTTATCTTAATTGTATTTTCCTTATTTCTCTTAACACATACTGACTTAAGTCAGGCTAGGTACATATTAAGCAGTAAGGGAATCTGGTCCCCAATTTAAAATGTGCTCAAAATATTAATAGCACATGGATAATACCACAACAATAATAACACCTTTATATTTGAATCATAATATGTAGTATTATTTTATAATACATAAGCTCTTTGCAGCTTAAAAAGTTCTTTTACATATAGTACACCACCCTCTTTTCTAAACCTTGGAGAAAGCTGAGGCTCAGAGATTGATTTCCCTAAGGCAGGGGTGGGGAACCCCTGATAAGGTTTCACATAGCTCTGTCACACTGGAGAGTAGAACGGAAGAGTTACAACTTCTTGGCATAGCTATCTGAGCTCCTGATTTACATGTATTTAACTTGATGTGTGTCTTAGCCTTTTTAATGGCATTTCTAAGATGATGGGAATAAATCTTTAGTTCAAATGTGGAAAACTTTGACTTCTCTATTATTTCTATAATAATAAATGCTTTTTCTTTTTTCTTTTTGAAAGCCTTAAGTTCTATTTGAAAAATTCAAAAATTAATGCAAAAATTATGATATGATATGTGGAGTTCCTCTTAGAAAACTAAGTCTTTATCAGGGAGATGTTTCATTTTTGCATAGTCTTGTAAAGGCTTATGTATTACTTTGACCCTTATAGGATAAAATTTAGCATATTTTTTCTTTTAGGGAGCATTATACCCATGTGATATTCTTCCTTGGCAACTACTTGTTTACTCCAGCTGGGTGGGGCAGTGGATAGAGTATTGGGCCTGGACTCATCTTCTTGAGTTCAAATCTGGCTGAAGACACTTACTAGCTGTTTGACCCTGGGCAAGTCACTTAACTCTCTTTGTCTCAGTTTCCTTATCTGTAAAATGAGCTGGAGAAGGAAATGGCAAGCCACTATAGTATCTTTGCTAGGAAAAATCCAAATAGGATCAAATGAAGAGTCAGACAGGACTGAACAACAACAATACATTTAAATACAAATTAAGTTCTCTGATGATCCTTCCACCCCTAAAATTTTGTTTTGATTTAAAGTACACATATTGTAATCATAGAGCACTATTTATATATATATGTATATTGTTCTTACTATTATAAGTTTAACTAGATTTCTCCAAGTTTCAGATTTTTCAGGATCCTTTTAATACAGAAGACCCCATAGTAGCAGAAAAGGGTATTGAATTCTAGGAATCAAGACCTGGGTTTCAGTCAGCAAGTACCTTATCCTCTTAGCACCTATTTCTTTATATATAAAATGAGAGATTTGATTAAGATGATTAATAAGATCCCTTCTACCTCTGTGCTAACATTATATAATGTCATAATTGATGATGGCATCAAGACATTTTGTGATCACTGTTAAAACTTACATGTCTATACCACAGTGTATTTAGTTTTTAAATGATATCACTGTATTTATAAAATGATTTGAAATCTTAATATAAAGGTCAAGGTAATGTAAAACTTGTATTAATAAATAATATTTGTTTTTTTATTTTATTTTTCTAAAACTTAAATACACAATAAGAAAAGAAAAAGAAACATATTATAAATTTAAATACCAAATAAAAAATTAAAAAAAAAGTCCTGTACACAACAGAACATGAGAGGATTCAGACTACATAGCAATAAATTTCCATTTCAAGAGAGTCTATGGAATAAATACTCCACATTGTGTCGAGAGCTATCCGTCTTTTCCTTGCTTCTCTGCTGTGAACTTTTTACTTTGTTCTTTCCCCCCCCTTCCTCCTCCACCCCTAGAAAGCTACAATTAAGTGTAGATATATTTATATATAGATACATACACACATATATACATATACATGCATAGATAGGTAAACATATACTTTCTCTTACAAATTCTATTTCTGATCTTTGCTTCATGTTTGTGTGTGTCTCTTATTTCCTATCCCTCCTGACTCTTCTACTTCACTTCTACCTTGCCCTCCTATTAGTTAACCTACCCCCACCCCCAGGATTCCTCCCTTATTCTTCTATTACTATAAATCTAAACGCCCTTCTATATTCCCGCCTTTGACCTATTCCCTTACCCTCCCCTCTAGAAATCCCTCCCTTATCCTCTCCCCCCTCCCTATCTTCTTGGCATTTTATTTCTTTCTGAATTTAGACTTTTATACTCTTTTGTTTATTAAATTAAATAAAATATTAAAATATTATACATTTTATACTCTTATATTCCCTCTTGAACCCATTCCCAATGAAAGGGGGTTTCCACAACTAACAGCCCTCCTCCTCCATCTAATTCTTCTGTGTCAGTTCTTCTTGCACCTCATTTGTGTAAGATAATTCCTCATTTTAGCAGTTCTTGATCAGTTTTAAAGTCATATATTTAGGTCTACCCCCATCTTTTTTATGAACTATGAATTCTGAACTTTCTTTATTAAATTATGAACTTTCTTATGTACCTAATTATTTATAATCTTAGATATACGTTTTGCATTTTGTATGCATAAAAGGTAAACAGTCTGTCCTTATTGAGTCCCTTGTAATTAGTCTTTGGTATGTATCTTATATTTCTCTTGGCTCTTGTATGTCAAATCTTCTATTAAGTTCAGGTTGTTGTTTTTTTTTTTTTTTTTTAACAAAGTCCTGAAAGTCTGACAGTTCATTAAATATCTTTTTTTTTTTTTAAACGTTCAGAATTATGCTTAGCTTTGCTGGGTACAATATTTTTGGCTGGAACCCCAGTTCTTTTACTCTTTGATATATAGTGTTTTAAGACCTGTGGTCTTTTAGTGTCACCACTGCTAGGTCTTGTGTGATTCTAATTGTGGCACTGCCATTTTTATTTTTTTTTTTTTTTGTTTCTTGTAACATTTTAGCTTTGAGTGGGGGGTTTCAGAATTTGACTATGATATTCCTGTGGATTTTCCTCATAGGATCTCTTTCAGGTGGTGATCAGTTCAGTGGATTTTTTCTATTTCTACTTTCCCCTATTGTTCTAATACTTTGAGACAATTTTCTGTAATTATTTCTTGTATTATTGTATCAAGATTCTTTTTTTTGATCATAGCTTTCAGGTAGTCCAGTTATTCTTATGTTTTCTCTTCTTGATCTCTTCTCCAGATCAGTTGTTTTTCTTATGAGATGTTTCACATTCTCTTTTATTTTTTCATTCTTTATATTTTGTTTTATTATTTCTTGATCTCTTATAACTTCACCAGCTTTCTCGTACTTATCCAATTCTGATTTTCAAGGAGTCATTTTCTTCCTTAAGATTCTGGATCTCTGTTTCTAAATAGTTGACTTTCTGTCTTTTTCTTTTAAGTTTTTTGTTTTGTTTTGTTTTTAGGTTTTCCTCAATCTCTCTCATTCAATTTTTAAAGTCTTTTAAAAATTCTTCTATGAATTCTTTTTGGTGACCATTTGACATCACTCTTTGGGTTAGAAGAGGATTTCTTTGCTTCAGAATCCTCCTCTGACCTGGTCTTCGGTATTCGTGTAGTAACCCTGTATAGTTGAATTCTTTCTCCTTTGCCTGTATGGTTTTCAGATTTGTAGTAGCTTGGTTTTTGTAATCAATCACTTCAGGCCTTAGAGCCTCCTTCAGTTTTCCCCTCTAGCCTGGAAAACTGAAACCAAGACATCCAGCTTCCTGGAGAGTGCCCACAGCCAACGGCGTCCCGGCCTCACGGCTTCTGCACTCACCTGGTGTGTGCTGGTTCCTTTTTGACTCTCTGCAGCACAGCTGGGTCTGGCATTCCTTGTCAGCAGAGGTTCCCTTGATCTTCCTGGGCTCAGATGCCCAGCACCCTTCAACGTCCTGGGGTATTTTCTAGCTGGGCTGAGGCAGCCTCCCAAACCAGCTGACCCCAGGGCTTGCCACTTGTTGTTTAAGGGCACCTAGGATCTAGCTTGGAGGTGTTTACTCTTCACAGGGACCAAACCTGGTCCTGGGATTTTTCTTCAGATCCTTTCTAAATGTTCCCAAAGGACTGCTGTTCTGCCCCTGCTGTTACTGATTTTTACCTACTCTGTGTTTGCCCTGATGTGCTATTTTATCTCTTTTGGATTTGGATTTTTCTGACCTACTCTACCATCTTCCCTCCTCTCCCAAAAAATAATATTTGTAAAGGCATCTTTTAGTATTAATCGAAATGAATTGAGGAAGTCTGAATTCCAGTCAGATTTTTCCACAATGTAATCCCATTGCATTTTTGTGTTTCTGTTATG